TTTTGGTATATTCCTTTCAGTAGTAATACTGGCTGGAACCTCATGGTCAGAAGCACCTCTAAATTTAGTATTATCCAATGCAATTATAGGATCCTCTGAAATTGAACCATTGACATTTGCATTGTTTTCTTCTTCAACTTTCTTCACAACCCCATTGCCTTCAATCACAAAATGGGTGCATGAAAAGTCACATGAATTTGATAACCCCATGGAAATCCTCCTCATAAGCCAAGGTTTGTCCTTAACTAAAGTTTCTCGTCCAAAGGTTGCTTTAAAAGTTTCTTGAAGATCTTTTACTGTCAATTTCTCCAAAAATATTTCCCCCTTTAACTTTGAAAAATCTGGCATCAAGCTAGCTCCAGTAGTGGATGTTGAAATATTATTCTCACCAGCATCTAAGTTTGAACATCCATCAGTACTGCCAAATTCGTCATTAGTGATATATTCTGAGTTTAATGGAGGGGCAGTTGCCTGCAAATCAATTCTAAATTGGAACATCTATCACAGTAAAGAAATTTAATAGTATGTCTATAACATTCATGACATAAAAGAAACTAGTCGTATTAATGCATGGTCCAACAAAGCTTTTTACAGTTTAACTTCACTCTGCAACTCGTACTCTTAAACAAAGATCTCAAGAGCTTGCCGGCTAAATTTTTTAAGACATTTTTGTTATGAGAGTATTACAAGAATACACTTAAAATCAATGTTCACTTTTATAAGAAGACTCTCTTTGGGGGGCACTGACACATGACCCTTTTATGGGACAGAGAGACTGTTTCCGGATGACCCATATGAAAATCGCGTCCAAAATTGCATGGCCTGGCTGCTACTTCATAACAAAGAAGCGCATACAGTTTAGTGAGCCATTTTGCTTTATTCCATCATATTCTCAAGCCAAAAAATAGTGAATCTTTGGCTCCATTACAAATGATGGAAAGATAGAAAATTAGAAAGTATTGGAAATAAATACAAAGCCACATACATTTCCTTGAGTATTCATGATGTCTAAATCAGGAAGCAATGGGTGTGGTATATTGGAGGTTACCACGTCAGCAGCATGTTTTTCAGGCGCTGATTGTCCTGAGCCCAAGACAAAAGTATTGATATCAGGGACAAGCACTTAATAAACCACAATAAGCTTGACAATACAAAAGGATATATACAAGAGAGATAACTAGAACAGGAGCTACTGGAAGTAACCTTAAAAAAGAACCATTTGTAATTTTTCAGTTGAAATTCAACTAATTGGGATACTTCAATTTAACATAGAATCCAATAACATATGGAGGCATTTTGACCTTGCGGTTTTTCAAACTGTGTTTTTCCAAAACAGAATACTTCAGTTCCATTGCACTCTATAGTTTGCTTAGCATCTATGATATGACCAAATCCATACTTCTCATCTTCAAGTAACTCTTCAACTGTCATCAATTCATCATCTGTTGCAGGCACTAGCCGACCATCCCCGTCAACCTACAAGTTTCATAAAGCATGGCCATGTTTGATAAAGCATAAAGGCTGAATCAAATTACTCCCTTACTTTCAGATTGGATGAAATGCATGGCATGATAAACACAATTTACTGATATGCATAGCACTTCAAGTAAATGGTATTAAACCCTAGAAGTGAAGTTGCAGTTTGGGGCAGAGCCAAGGGTCAGGCTGAGGCAGCTGAACCCCTGAAAGTTTTGGACTATAGGGTTAAAATTCCTTCAATTTAACGTATCATGGATCACATTTTCAAGGCAACAGTTATGACCTTTGGAAATTCATCCCTCATCATCATCATCATCATTACCCCAGTGCCTCAAAGGCTCCCACCTACGGTGGGGTAGGGGGGTCGGATGTACGCAGTCTTACCCCTGTACTTTACCCCTGTACTAAAGCAGGGAGAGACTGTTTCCGAATGACCCATACTGAAAATCGCGTCGAAAAATACATGGACTGACTGTTGCTTCACAATAAAGAAGCACAGACAGTTTAGTAGAAATTCATCCTTGTGTAAATTTTAAAATACATAAAATATGAGTTCATTTTGTCCTCTCAATTTTGAAGAACAATGACACCTGAAAGTTTCTGTGCATGTCGAGGACTAGAGAATTAAAATACCTTCTATTTAAAATACCTGCGTTTTTGAACTCAAAAGTTATGACCTTTCAAATATCTTTTGTCTAAATTTTAAAATTCATAAAAACATGAGATCATTTGTCAGTTTATCCTCTCAATTTTGAAGAACTTTGAACGCACACTGACAGAGTATACAGGAATCTAAACATGTGAAACACAGTTTTAGAATTTAATTTGCACTCATCCGTGCGCACGTGAGAGACTTAAAATTTATCTACTAATAAAGTGTAAAAATGAGATTTATACATAATTACAGAGACTTATACATATTTACAGACAAGCTTCAGTTCCTAACTTTATGATTACATTTGAAAATTAATATCGGTTCACCCATTATCTTCTTTGAGCCTATAATACATATATACCATACTAATGTACTCTTTTAGCATAACTTAAACTCATTTTACCTCACCCTGGATATAAATGGTTCAGCTAATCAGCTCAAATTTTGTCTCTAAACAACCCTTTAAATATTGTACATTGCTAAATTTCAAGCGCTAATACTATATGGATTAATTTCAAAATTGCACAGAAAAAAGTGTGATGTCATTTAACACTAACCTAGGAATAGCTTTACCACATAAAATACCTGAGACACTCTAGAATAACGAACATATATACTCAGGCCAAAAATATGAAAACATTTACCAAGTAAAAGAAATGATAACTTTTAAAAGCTTAGGTTCCACTACCATAGCTGCATGTATCGAGCTATAAGATATAAAGTTTTCACATTAATATTTAGCACCATATACTACAATTAATGAGTCCTCTTGAGCCAACGGTGCATACATACCCGAACAAGCTTGTAGAGAATGGGTTCAGCAGTTTCCTGATGCAAACTCGCACTATCCTCAACTTTATCTTCACCGTTTGCCTCCACTGCAAAAACTGATTCCATCGGTAATCCAGTATAGGCAACTGAAATGCACAAAACCAAAAACAAAATTAGCATATATTACGCTCCAATTTGTGGATGAAACGAAAGCCCCAATTTGCACAAAATTATGCGTAGTACTTACACAATCCCCTCAACATAGAGTACACATAACGATAATATTTATTGAGTAAACTGACCAAGAAGCTGCAATCACACCTCAGCGAGGCTACTATCCATGTTGTTTGTCTATCCAGCAGCAGATGGTAGAAGTCTCCCGAGTAAGGAATATGAAAACGACGTGGAACAATTGATTGACAGCTGCTTCTCGACGAAGGGATGAGCAGAAGAGTATAGAACAGTTTCGTTTTCAATTGAAAAGATTAACCGATGAATTTAAGAGGGAATTTATTTTATTTTTATGTAATCGGCGATTGGATTTTGCCTTGTGTTAGCGACTTCGGAATGTGCTTTTCCGCTGCGCTGGGCCTACCATATTAGGCCCGGAATCGAAATGCATTATGAATTTGGGCATCAGAGCGCGTGGAATCCATTGTGCTCATCTTGTATGCGTCCTAAACCGGATCATAAAACCAGGGAATATTTGGAATTAATTATCTAGAAATTATCCTAAATAGAGTAAAAACGTTTATAAATTTTAAAATAGAATTTTTATGTTTTTATTCTCTAAATAGGAATAATTCTTTCAAGTTTGAGGAAAAAAGTCATGTTTAAAGACTAGTAATGTCAAACTTGATAGAAATTTACTCTTATTCAGGAAATAAAAAACATGATAGTCCTGTTTTGGAATTTTAAAACTTTTTTACTTCTTTTAGGGAATTCTCGATCTCTTAATTCTACTTCTTTTTCTAAATAGTCTCCTTCAAATTTTTGAAAATTGCTTATAGGAATAATTTAAAACATTTTGTCATTTAGGTGCATTTCTATATTTTTCGCCTAAACAATCCAATATTTGTTTTGATTCTTCGGAAAAAAGAAACGGTTTTCAGAAGCATATCCAAACAGTAGTAAAAGTGTTTGGAATTGATTCTACTTTCGTACTTTTTAAAAGTGAAACCAATTATATTGAAGCAATTTGAAACAATTCTCCACTTCCATCCAAATATTATAGTATTTGTTTCTACTCTCTTAAGAAACATAAACAATTTTAAGAAGCAAGTATAAACACAACTTATACGATTGGGATGAAGAAAAATTAATTTTCCATTTTATAGGTTTTATGAGCTTGTTTGGTAATGATGGATAGTGTACCCGGGAGGTAGCTTATCCAAGGGGTTATTGCGGGGAATAACAAGAGAGAAGTCAGAGCAAGTAAGTATAGAGAGAGAAAGTGTATTTAGAAAGTATGCAGCGTTTATGACTTGTGACATGGTTACAAATGGGGAAATGGTGTGCTATTTATAGTAGCAATAAATGCCGGACAGGGACACGTGTCAAGCGTCCATTGGCCGAGAGGTCACCTCAACTGGTTGGCGCTGGCAACTGCATGTGGCCGCATTTAATGCGGCTGTTGGATGGGACGTTGTACAGGGTACGGTGATCTGTACGCATGAGGCGCGGATATCATGTCGGGAAAGGTGCCCTCGGCTGTGGAGGACTAGCTGAGGGGCTCTGAGTACCGGGGACCCCCTGGATGCCGAGGGCTCCAGTTGCCGAGGGCTACTGATTTTCGCCGTTTTCCCCAGTAACTTTGTTTTGCTGTGCTGGTCCTCCTGTGATAGTTAGAGCCTTCGGCCAGGGACCGAAGGCACCCCTGGTGCGCATTGTGGGCTGCTTGGTACTCTGGGCGTTGTGATTTGGGTCTGTTGTGCTTCCTGGGCCTGCTGGGCCTTTTTTGGAGTAGCAGGAGTCTGTGGGCCGGGGGTTCCCGGGCCATATACTCCATCAGGAGTCCCTCACTCCTTTTGCCGAAAGACTACACTACTGACAAGGAACTCTTCGCCCTCGGCTTCCGGAGATATCGCTTCATCGGGGAAACGGACGAGAAGTATCCCCTTTTTGATGAGGCCATCAGGGGAGCAGGAGGTAGTCTACGAGGGCCCTTAGTCTTGTACTTAGTATTTACTATTTTTTTTCTTTTTTTTCTTTACCTTGATGTTATTGCTCCATGGTTGTTGACCCGTAAGCCTAACCCTTCACTATTTCACAGGTATTCCCGTTTCGAAGATGAACGTGAAAGGCCTTGCTCGATTTAAGAACAAGCCGGCCAAGGATCCGAAGGGGTCGGATGCGGGCGGCCAAAAGCCCGTTGGTGCGTATTTCAAGAAGCCCGAGGGCGATGTTGCGGCCGCGAAGAGGAAAACGACGACAAAGGAATCCCCCCCGGCTACCAAGAGATCGAAGAAGGGGGACGCCACGAAGAAGGACCCCCCGATAGTGATCGTGGATGAGCATTCAACCTCCGGGCTGGTCGTGGATGTGCCGACGGCCGGAAAGCCGACGGGGACGGAGGAGATGCCCCCAGAGGTCCTGCAGGTTTCCCTCTCGAGGGGAACAGCCGTGACCAACTGCACGGTCAACCCGAGGGTGCTCCTGAGGGGCATGACCCCTGAAACAGATGGGGCCACCTTCGGAGCTTTAGACGATGTGGCGCTTGAGGACCAGATCCTCCGATCTTCCTTAACTGTGAGTTCCCTCATGCTTTCTTCCCTCCTTCCTCAGATTATCTTGCGTGGTTGTCCTGACAGTTTGCGTTGTTGATTTGCAGGCTTGCCTTGCCCTCGGCGAACAGGCCCGACGGTTGGAGGAATGGCGTCTCCACAAAGCTGGGCAAGACGTCAAGATGAAGGAGCTCATTCATAAGGACTCCAAGGCCACGAAGCTGATGGCCCAGCTCGAAGAGGACCTCCAGCTTGCGAGAGCAGAGGCCGGAAGGCTCAGGGAGGAGAAAGCCAAGGTTGAGGAGGCTTCCGCGGAGGCCGCAAAGAAAGCCGCCGAGGAAGCCGAGGCCGTCTGAGCGAAGGCTATTGTCAAAGCTCGGGAGGAAGCCATCTCCGGGTTCCTGGACGAGGGGTGGAAGGCTGAGGGATACAAGGAGTGGCTGTCCTCGGTTGTGGAGGCCTCTGTTGATGAATGGTGTGAGGGCCCGGGTGAGGAATGGATGGCCCGAAAGGGCAAGGAATATTTTGATGGGGGCGAGTTTTTTACTCAGGCCCTCATCTACCGAAGGATGGCCCGGCACCTAAATATTGAGCCGAAAGATTTCGATCCCTCGGCATATGGTCTTCCCCCCTTACAACCGGATGTTCGTGAATCCCTCCCCTCAGGCGTTAAGCGGCCCGACCTGGAGGATACTGAGTTGATGAAGGAAGCAGAGGGCGATGTCGTGGAGGCTGGAGTAGAGGTCTCTTCGAAGCCTGTTGTAGAGGATGCTTCCGGGGGCAATGTTGTCGAAGTTCCTGAGGAGATTTGCACTTAGATAATCCTTTGAACACTTTTTTGTAATGAATATTTGTATGCTCTCGGCCTCGGCCTTTTTGTAATATACACTTTAACTCTTCCATTATCCTTATGAATGAATACCGGCCTTCGGGCTTTTTGCGTATAATTCGTTTCCTTTGATTGTTTTCCTCAGAATGTATGCCCTCGTTTTTTTTGAATGTATGCCTTTGCCCTTCTTTGAACGTATGCCTTCGCTTTCCTGAATGTATGTTTAGGAGTTAGAATATATTCTTCCAAGTGTAGTGCTTTTTGTAGCCCTCGGCTACTAGTAATCTTTAGTCAGTTGAACCTTTCACCGAGGGCACAATGCTCAGGACTTAGAAAATATTTCTAAGTGTTTGTTCATATGTTGGCCCCCGGCCGGTTCCTCCTCTCTGGTTCCATGTAGCCTTCGTGAGATAGCCGGGTGTGAGGTGCTTAGGACTTAGAAAATTTTTCTAAGTGTTTGAATACAGTTTTAGCCTTTGGTAGTTGGGCACCCTTCGCTAGATGTATGACTGAGGGCCCAGCAAGAGTTAGGACTCAGAAAATATCTCTAAGTGTAGTCTCACCAAGCCTTCAATCGTGTGGCCCCTCGGGCTGCAGGGAGATTCGAGACTTAGAAACTTGTCACCGAGGGTAAGAACTTTTGGGACTTAGAAATTTTTCTAAGTGTGGCATGTATGAAGTAGGGGCCCTCGGGCAGCATGGAGATTTGACCGAGGGTCAAAATCTGTAGGACTTAGAAAATTTTTCTAAGTATAGATTCACCGAGTCTTCAACCGTATGGCCCCTCAGGTACCATGGAAAGTTGACCGAGGGCCAAACAATATAGGACTTAGGAAATTTTCCTAAGTGTAGTATGCGTGAAGTAGGAGCCCTCGGATGACTGTGAGGACAGTGTTTGGGGTATGCCCTCGGCTGGCTAGTGGCTCCACAAGGGGCAAAGCCTTAGGACTTAGATTGTTTTCCAAGTATTTCCTGTTGCTGGCCTTCGGGGGGGCCCTTCGGTTGTAGGCGTTGTCGGTTCAGGATAGTTCCCTTTGCCTTGTGATGTTGGCCTGTGGCAAAAAAAACCTTCGGTTGTTTGTCATATAGTTCCCTTCGGGAACGTTTTGAATTGTTTGAGCCTTCAGTTTTAGGTATAGCCGGAGGCAATCCTTGAGTGGACTTCAGCCATTCGTTGATGATGTCTGTTGTGAATGGTGTCTTTTGTACTTGTGAACTTTCAAGGTACCGAAGGTGTTCCCGTGGGGAGCCCTCGGTATGCTTTTGTAAATTGTTGGAGTGATGTACTCATTGATTTCTCGCTGAGTCTACTCCCCTTCACTACCTCTTTTTTTTTAGTAGTGAAGGGAAGGCTTCAAGTAACTTGGTTTCTTGGTAAGGCTTGGCCTATCGGGAGGTAACAGAATACACCATTAGCTCCCCCCTCGGGCTAACCTTCCGAGTTCCGAGGGGATCGAGGGTCGTTTCCTGGGCACAAGATATGGTGGTCCGTAGCCTGCCTCCCCTTGGGGGATGGCGCGGAAAGCGCCTCATTTTTGAAAGTCGTCCCCTCGGCGCTAGACATAGTCCGTGGCCTGCCACACCCTTGGGGTGGTGGCGCGGGGAGCGTTTCGGTTTGGAAGTCGAATCATGGGCATTTCTCGTGCCTGTCATACCCTTGGGGTGATGACGCGGAAAGCGTTCCGTTTTTGAAAGTCGAATCCTGGGCATTTCTCATGCCTGTCATACCCTTGGGGTGATGACGCGGAAAGCGTTTCAGGGAAGGGTTTTCATTTGCACACTAGTTGCAAATGGCCGGGTGCACTACGTGCTGCCGGCACCGATAGGTGGCGCCTTCGGTATAGGCATCCTCGAGGGGTACGGCTTAGAAACAACACTTGGTGTTTGTTCCGATGTATGGCCCCCGGCACTTGGTACCGAGGGGTCTTCTGTAAAAACACTTGGTGTTTTTCCTTCACTTGTCGTAGGGGATTGCGGTGTCTACCCTTGGTACTTGGTACCGAGGGGTCTTCTGTGAAAACACTTGGTGTTTCCTCCCATTTGTTGAAGGTGATTGTCTTGTCTGCCCTCGGTATTGGGTACCGAGGGGTCTTCTATGGGAACACTTGGTGTTTCCTCCCATTGGTTGAGAGTTGATAATGGTGTACCCCCCCCCCCCCCCCCGGCACGAGGTGCCGAGGGGTCTTTTTTTTTTAGGACGGGTGGTACTTTGTTGTAGGTGATAGTATTGTCTACCCTCGGCACTTGGTTACCGAGGTTACCGAGGGGTCGTGGATGAGGGGGAGGCAGGATATTCTCCCCAACCTGAGGCTGGTGGGGAACCAAAGTGCCGAAGGCACCCGGGTTCTGAGTGAGCGTCTGGATGAAGGCGGAGAGCGCCGATTGAACGTCGATGGTGATGACCGGGGGGCTAATTTGATTTTCGCTCCGGTCCTTTTTCTTGGCCTCGATGCCGAGGCGGGCATCGGGGGCATTTTGCTGAATCTCCTGGCATAGGTCGACAGCCGTCTGGTCCATCCCGGCGATGACACCGCCCCCGGGAGCCCTGTTGGAGGCTTCGGGGACGTCGACCTCGCCGAGGGCCAGGTTCCTGTCCTCTTACATTCTTGGAGTTGGCACGAGTTGTTCTCACCATTTTGGATGGGTGTTTTTGCGTTTGGTCGAGGGGGATGGTTTCTTACTTGATTGTTCGACCTCTCAACGAGAGCACCAAATGATGGATAGTGTACCCGGGAGGTAGCTTATCCGAGGGGTTATTTCGGGGAATAACAAGAGAGAAGTCAGAGCAAGTAAGTATAGAGAGAGAAAGTGTATTTAGAAAGTATGCAGCGTTTATGACTTGTGACCTGGTTACAAATGGAGAAATGGGGTGCTATTTATAGTAGCAATAAATGCCGGACAGGGACACGTGTCAAGCGTCCATTGGCCGAGAGGCCACCTTTACTGGTTGGCGCTGGCAACTGCATGTGGCCGCATTTAATGCGGCTATTGGATGGGACGTTGTACAGGGTACGGTGATCTATACGCATGAGGCGCGGATATCATGTCGGGAAAGGTGCCCTCGGCTGTGGAGGACTAGCCGAGGGCTCTGAGTACCGGGGACCCCCTGGATGCCGAGGGCTCCAGTTGCCGAGGGCTACTGATTTTCGCCGTTTTCCCCAGTAACTTTGTTTTCCTGTGCTGGTCCTCCTGTGATAGTTAGAGCCTTCGGCCAGGGGCCGAAGGCACCCCTGGTGCGCATTGTGGGCTGCTTGGTACTCTGGGCGCTGTGATTTGGGCCTGTTGTGCTTCCTGGGCCTGCTGGGCCTTTTTTGGAGTAGCAGAAGTCTGTGGGCCGGGGGTTCCCGGGCCATATACTCCATCAGGTAACATTAAAAGTTACTACATACAATTTAGTTCAAACTAGTGATATAGACTGAATGTGTAAAATTAGAAAATGGTATTGTAAGATACAAATATTTAAAATGATCTGGTTTGACAATTTAAGCCAATTCATTTAAAAAGTAATTTTAACATTAATTACTTTGATTAATATACAATTTATCGCATGAAATCCAAAATTACGTGTTGATAAAATATTAACACGTAATACTAACAGCTAATAGCCTAATACGATAAATCGAAAAAAGACTTACCAAAAAGCTCTTAGTTTATGTCGAATAAATTCCACTTATGGTCCTTCGAGTTTTGCACCAATTCCACAATTAGTTCTTGTCTTTCATTTTATCCATTTTTTATACCTGACTATTGTTTTCTTGACCATATATAGTCTTTTTCTGATAGTAAAAATGCTCAGAAATGGACCACAAATGGTCAAGAAAACAATAGTCAGGTAGTAAAAATGGATAAAGTGAAAGACGAGGATTAAATATGGAAATGACACAAAACTCGGATGACCTAAAGTGGAATTAATTCTTATGTATTTATGTATTTATAAACTAAAGTAAAAGTTATACTGTGTGTTAATTACAACAA